ATTGATTGATTTTTTTGAGTATTGAACCAACCTTGCATTCCTACAGTGAACCAGGTCATAATCCATTATGCTTTTTATATATTGCTGAATTTGATTTGCTAATATATATACACAATAGGCTTTTCTTGACTATGTTAATGAGAGATATTAGTCTGTAGTTTTCTTTTTTGGTAATGTTTTTGTCTAGTTTGGGTATTATAGTAATACTGGTCTCATAAAATAAGATGAAATATGACCCCTCTTATAGTTCAGAAGAGATGTACTATTTCTTTCTCAAATGTTTGGTAGAATTCACCACTGAAGCTATCTAAGCCCAGTTTTCTTTTTGGAAAGTTTTTAACTACAAATTTAATTTATTTAATAGGCATAGGGCTATCTCAGGCTATCTGTTTCTTATGCAAGTTTTGGTAGTTTGTGTCTTTCAAGGAATTGGTTCATTTTATCTAAGTCATTGAATGTATAGGCATGGAGATATTCATAGTATTTCCTTATTACCTTATTATCCTTTTAATGTCCCTGGGATCAGTAGTGGTGACCCTTCCTTCATTCCTAATATTGGTAATCTATGTCTTCTTTTCTTGATCATCTGGGATCTAGGTTTATCAGCTTTACTATCTTTTCAAAGAATCAGCATTGGTTTCTTTTTTTCCTCTATTTTTTCTGTTTTAAATTTCATTGAATTATTCTCTAATCTTTATCAATTATTTCCTTATGTTTGCTCTAGTTTTAATTTCCTTTATCTGTAGCTTTATGAGATATAAATTTAAATTACAATTTTACTCCTTTTTGTTTCCTAATATATTCCTTTAATGTTATAAATTTTCTTCTATGTACCACTTTAGCTATATCCCACAAGTTATATTTTTTCATTTTCATTTAGTTCAACTGTATTTCCCACTTTATCATCTCTAGATTCTTACAATTCTCTGTACCCTTGAATACTATGATCCTCCTTTCTTTTGGATATTCACACACACTCTTTGACCTATCCTTCTGAATCTTTGACTAGTTTATTCTTTTGCTACTATTGCTATGATTCTATTTTTACTGTTCTTTTAACTCTGTATGTTATTCATTGTTGAGGTAATCTATTCTCCTGATTTTAAATGACACAGATATTCATTTATTCAATCATTCATTCATCTCTCCATCAGCTATGACTTCATTATTACCTACTGTAAGTGCAATACTGTCCTAGGTATCAGGGTTACAAAAGCAAAAACTAAAGATAATGGTTCAGTAAATAGATAATAGAGGACAGAACAAATTTTTAAAAAAATACAAGGCAATAATTTAAACACTAAGCAGGAATATCTACCCAGAGGTGTCATTTAACACAACAGTGGGAACTGATCATGGTGCTGAATCAGAGTTCTATACGGCTTTTCTATGTCAAATATAAACTTTTTAGTTGCCGGATCATGGGAAGATCTAGGAAATCTTAAAAGAGAGGTCAGGACAGCCAAGATACTGAGTCACTTGGGAGGCTTAGACTGTGGCTATGTACCAGACCATTATTTAACAATTACAACTGCTAGTAGCTTAGTATCAGACCTGAACTGAACACAGTCAAATTTATAGTTAAAGGCTTCCCTAAATGAGTGATACTTAAGTTTTAAACTATAAATAAAAAATAGGTAGGTACAGAGCAGAGAAAATAGCTCTAGGCAAAATGAAGTTAAAAGGCCTAGAAGTTAAAAGAAATAACATGTATAAAAAATTTAGACTTTTGGAGGGCCAGATATTATAGGAAACTTAATGAAAGATAAGGTGAGAGAGGATACATAACATATATAAAAGGCTTTATAAGTTAGCAAGTTGATCATTATTCTAAGGTCTCTGGAATGCCATTCCAATCTGATCAGATTTGCATTTTTGAAAAACTACTGTAGCTACAGGACAGAGAATAGACTGAAGCCATGCAAGACTGACTAAGAGAGAGATTAGTTAGAAGGCTACTATGATATATACCAAATCTTTATTTCAAGATAATATTTTATAAATACATATTGGATGTCTTGTCTGGGCATCTCAAACTTAGTAGGCTCAAAATTAAAATAACTGTCCTCTTCTAAGTTGGTAAGTTATATCTTCCTCTGTACTGCTTCTGTACCTTGTTAATACTCCTAATGTCACCCCTGAGTCTTAATGATTTGTTTATATATCTACTCTCTCACCAGACTCTAGGAGAGTTCTTCAAAAATAGCATGCTGCCTTGCACATAATGAGTGCTCAATAAATATTTACTGAACTAATCTATAAAGTACAATATTGTAGGTTATATGACAGTGTTTTATAAACTGAAAAATTAAATTTAGTACACTCTATTTCAGAAAACAGTAGTTAAATCTAGAGCTCAAAAACATTTGTACAGAATGATCCCAATTACATTTTTTAATTTGTATGGTTTTGTGTGTCATTGATATTTCATTTTTGGATGGTACAATTCTAAATGTTTTAATTTTCTACTTTTCAATATCTGTATTTTCCAAATGTTCCACATTGCAGAGGTTTATTGTAACAGTGAGAAAAAAATACAGAAACGTAAATTTTTGAAATCAATTATACACACTGGAAAACATCTAGAAAGATATCCATTAAATATTAACTAAAATTATATACAGGTAGCAGGATCACCAATGATTTTCACTTTTTTCCCTTAAACTTTTCTGTGTAGCTTTAATGTTTCACAATGATTAAGTGTCACTACGTAATCACTAATTTCTTTCAAGAAGGCAGTGATAGCTATGATACATTTTACAAGGTTTCTATGAAAAGTATTTGATTTAAAGTGGCAGACTGGCAAGAAACATTTAAAACACATGCAAAAATACCTAATTTTTTTAAACATCTAATAAGCTGTTCCGAGTTAAGAACAGGACAAATAACCACCAGAAAAACTGGAAGTTTGTGAAGAGAAAACTCCTCAGAAAAAGAAATACAAATGGTTTACAGACATACAAATAGACATTCAACTTCCCTCACAATTAGAGAAATGCATATTTAAACAATGATTAAATACCATTACTACCTTCCACACTTTGATAAAGTAGAGTTCCTGAGGTCTAGTTAAACAAGTACTTTCACTGTTGATGACAATAAAAATTGGTACAGCTGTCTAGAGGGTAACTTAGCAACAGTGTAAGACTTTCAAACGCACACTACTTTTTGTGTCATAATTCAACTTCATGGAATTTGTCTTACAACATGTGCACACATGTGTGCAAAAACAAATGTACAAGAAGGTTCAGTGTAACATTAGCAGTCATGGTAAAGGACAAGAAGCAGTTAAAATGTTCATCACAGAAGATTTGTTATATAAGTTATGATATAATCTTCCAGTGTAATACTAGGGAGATATTAAAAGAATGAAGTGGATCTGTAAGTAGTGTAAATAAAAAAGTGGTCTAATAAGATGCAGAACAATAATCATAGTCTTTCCCTATTTAAGTTCTTTTCTGTATGTATATTCCCAAGCATAAACAGAAGTTTTCCAAAAATATATTATGTATATTTTAACATACTATTGGTTGGAAGAACCACTCACTTTTCACTGCATGTCCCTATGTTGGAAATTTGAAATTTTTACTACAAGAATATATTACTTTGAATAAACAATTTTTAAAAATTGTTTTAATTCATTATTATATTTATTAAGCTTAATTGTCTAGGAGTTCAGTTATATTGAGTTAAACATTCCCCAACAGTACCAAAAATCTGAGAAATTACTATAAATGTTTAAAGTTAAATATATACTAAAACAAAAACCTAGTTCTATATTTTTATTTTCATGAATCTATGTTAAGCTTTTATCAAAAATAAAACCTTTGTAAGAAAAATGACTAAATTTTTTCTCTTAAAGCCTACTTCAAAAAAAATAAACTATTACATGAATAAAGATTTAGCCCTAGAACACTTTATTAAACTGCTTTATGTTTACATCAGTTAAAGAGTAGATTTTTTCTGGGGAAAGTTAATATATACGAAACATCAAGTTTAAAATTTCCCTCCAAAGTCATATGAAATATGCACCAGAAGAAACTGTGAATCATTTCTTTTTAGTTCTATTTTCTTAGTTAGTACCATTAATTCTAAGTAGGAAATCACACCTCCCCAAATCTCAATTTGGTTTTACATTGTCTAATTATGAATGAAAAGATGCTACTTATATTTTTAATTTGTATCTACTACAGATACTGAATAGTTGTACATATTTATGGGGTATATGTAACATTTTGATATAAGCATACAACATGTAATGATCAAATCAGAGGAATTGAAATAACCATCACCTCAAGCATTTATCATATATTTATGTTAGGAACATTCCAATTCTACTCTTTTAGTTATCTTGAAATAGACAATAAATTATTGTTAACTATAGTCACCCTATTGTGCTACTCTACACTAGGTTTTATTCCTACTATCTACTGTATTTTTGTACCTATTAACTATTTTCTCTTTGTTCCCCATCCTCTCTACCCTTCCCAGTCTCTGATAACAATTATTCTACTCTCCATCTCCATGAGTTAAAATTTTTTTAAAGCTCCCACAAATGAATGAGAACATGCAATAATTGTATTTCTGTGCCTGGTTTATTTCTCTTAACATAATGTCCTCCAGTTCTAGCTATGTTGTTGTAAATTATAGGATTTCATTCCTTTTTAATGGCTTAATCGTATTCCATTGTGTATCTGTCCCATATTTTCTATCCATTCATCTACTGATGGACATTTAGGTTGATTTTATATCTTGGCTATTGTGAATAGCACTGCAATAAACATGGGAATACAGACGTCTCTTCAAAATACTAAGAGACTTCCTTTCTTTTAGATATATATCCAATAGTGAGACTGCTAGATCATAAAGATGCTACTTATCTGGAAAAGTATTTTCTATCTAGCACAAAGGCTTAAATTTTCTTACATATACTGTCACTCATATGTTCTATTTTAATAATAAGGCAATAAAGTTATTTTTTGCAAATTTGTCTTTTTTACCTGCTATCAGCTTCTCTGTATCAGGTAGATGTGTGAACTGTCTTCTGTATTCCTCATTTCTCTCTTTATAAGTGCAACTTGAAATCTACAACAATAAAAATATTATATTGATTCTTTTCTTGCCTCAGCTTCCTTGCCAGAGAGGCCCTGAGTTTCACTCCCATTGTCTCCAGCCGCTGACCCCTGACCTTGGCCAAGGCTTCCCGGCTGCAGAGCACGGTGGTCAGCATGGGCCCAGGGTGGGGATTCTGGAGCCGCATGCTCTGCCTGGGTTCGGGTCTGTAAGCCGCGTGGGGCCATCATGATGAGACCACGCCGCCCTGGGCCATCAGGACATCACCTTGACTTGGCCGAACGTGTCCGAGAACCCATCCTAGGCTGGCAAGCATCGCCCCTGCCCATTCTTATTTAGGCCTTACCACTAAGCCCCTTTTCCACACAGCCATCCGGACTGAGGAAGACCCGGAAACTTTGAGGCCACGTGAGCCATGGCCACGGCCACATCAGCAAGCACCGAAAGCACCCGGGAGACGTGGTAATGCTGGTGGCTTGCATCACCACAGGATCAATTTTAGCAAATATCACCCAGGATACTTTGGTAAAGTTGGTATGAGATATTACCATTTAAAGAGGAACCAGAGCTTCTGCCCAATTGTCAATCTTGATAAATTTGGATTTTGGTCAGTGAGCAGACAAGGGTGAATGCTGCTGAAAACAAGACTGGAGCTGCTTCCATTATTGATGTGGTGCGATCAGGCTACTACAAAGTTCTGGGAAAGGGAATACTCTCAAAGCAGCCTGTCATCATAAAGGCCAAATTCTTCAGCAGAAGAGCTGAGGAGAAGATTAAGGGTGTGGATGGGGCCTGTGATCTGGTGGCTTGAAGCCACACAAGAGCAGTTCATTAAATGCTAATGAATGCTTTAAAAAATTACATTTCTGTTTAATCATAACTGCAGTGTCTTAGAAAATAAATTTTCAAATGGAAGTTAAAATCATATGCTTCTATGCGATATTTTTTGTATGTCCTTATATGAAAAACCTCATAAAGATTTCAAAAACACACGAAAAAGAAGCAGAGGAGTTTGGTAATCTTCTCTGCAAAAGAAAATATATTACAGGAAAAAGCTGTCAAAAACAATCATCTCCAATGACTGAAAACTGACCAAAACTATACAATAAACTTAGACATTGTCTTCATGAAAATCTACTGAACTTGGGCTAAGGACAGTGGAAGTCTATGGTATTCTTTCCTGAGCCTGTTCACATTGCCCATCCTCCTTCACCCATTAAGTCCCAGATTAGCAAGGGACATAAAGAAAGTTCGAAGGAGAAGCAGCCATAGATGGGTTTGATAAATTCTTCATGTATTCCTGACCAAACAGAGCCTACATACCTGTGTAGCACAGAGTAGAGAGGACCCAAGGCATCCACACACTCCTGACTACAGAAACAAGAGATCTTGGGAGAACATAAAAAGTAGGACAAGCTTTAAAATGGACACATTTTTTCAAAAGTGGTCAGAATACTGAATACATTACCCAATCTATACACAGATATGTCAGTAGAAGGGAAAAGCCTTACTGGCTCTGTGTAGTTAAGCCCATCACTGAGCAATCATTGGTTGACATAAGGGGTGACCCCTAGGAAGCCAGACTTAAAAATAACAACAATAAACTTAGCAGATATATTAGCTCCACATGCCACAGGACATACAGATTTCACAGATTTACTCTAAACAAGCTATTAAACAAGCAAACAAAAATCCATAATAACTACCTACGAAGGTACAGGAAGAAATGCAATCAGAATCCATCTCCAATAGAAAATTTAAATTGTCACATTTTCAACAAAAATTATGGCATACAAAGAAATGGGAAAACATGACTCATATTAAAGAAAGAAAAAAGAGAGCAGACAACAGTAACAGTCAAGGGTTCCCAGATATTGGATTTAGCAAAAACACTAAAGCAGTTATTATAAATATGTTTAAAGAACTAAAGAGAATCATGCTTAAAGAACTGAAGGAAAGTATGACAACAATGACTTAATGTGGAATCTGAAACAACTCCATAGATGCTAATCTACCATGTTGACTTTGGATGAATCTGAGTTCTGGGAAGGCTTCTAAGATTTCTTGCTTATCTATTATTCCTTGTATAAGAACAAGCACTTAACTATAAATCCTGCCCTTAGGTCAAACAAACTTGTGCTATTATACTTCAATTGTCCTACACATTCCTTCTGAAATACCTTTTCCCTATGGTATATAAGCCCTGGATCTGCCAGATAATGGTGTAGGGAATCTACCTTCTTCTGTCGCTTCTGTGGGGATCCACTTGGCTTCTGTCCCTATTAAATGTCTCTTTCTAAGAAACTGTATATGCTAGCCTCTTCCTTTAGCTTCTCAATTTTCTCAAACTTTAGGGGTAGGTACATATAGACCTGCCCACTGTGAAACATTCAACAAGTAGAGATTCTAAACAAATATATATGTTTAAAATTTTTTTAAAGAAACAAATGGACATTCTAGGGTTGAAAACCACAATCAGTGAAATAAAAAATTCACTAGAGGATTTCAACAGCAGATTCAAAATAGCAGAGAAAGAATCTATGAATTTAAAGACAGACAGTAAAAATTTCAAATGTGAAGAACAGAGAAGAAAAAGATTGAAGGGAATAAAAAGACTCTCAGAGACCTATGGGACAACATTAAATGAACCAAAATACATGTAATAGGAATATAAGAAGGAAAAAGTGAAAGGAGGAAAAACATTCGAAGTAATAACAGTAAAAACTTTTCCTAATTTGATGAAAATCATTAAGCTACACATCAAAAAAACTTAATGAATCCCAATTAGGATAAACAGAATCACTCTTGGACCTATAATAGTTAAACTGTAAAAAGACAAAGGAGAAATCTTGAAAGCAGTAAGAAAAAAAATGATCCATCATATACAGTTTTTTTTTAAAAAGCATAATTTGCAGGTGACTTTTCATCCTAAACAACAGAGAGAACATATATGCTTTACAAGAAATACTCAAGAAAGTCCTTCAAGCTGCAAATAAATGACATCATATAGTAACTCAAATTCACAAGAAGAAATGAGCACCAGAATTACAACTACATGGGTATATATAAAAGACTATATAAATCTATGTCCTTATTTCTCTCTTAACATATTTAAAAGACATAAGGGTCTATAAAGCAATAATTATAGCACTATCTGGCTGGATCTATGAGAAGTAATAAAGATAGAGCAAAGTTTTACTATTTTAGCAGAATTAAATTAGTAGAAATCTAAAGCATACTGTAAGAGGTTAAGATGTATACTATTATCTCTTGAGCAACTACTAAAAAAAACCTTCAAAATATTTTTTGAATAAAAAGGAATTAAAATGGTATCCTAAAAATATTTATTTAACACATAAAGAAAGATACAATGGGGGAACAGAAGAACAAAAAAAAAATGAAACAGATAGACAATAAATAGCAAAACGATTATCTACAAATTCAACCATATTATAATTACATTAAATGTAAATGGACTAAACACAGCAATTGTCAAGCTGGATAAACAATAAAGCCAACTATATGTTGTCTACAAAAGACACACACCTTAGTTGCAAAAACATAGAAGCTGAAAGTAAAAGGATATAAAAAAAGAGATACCATACAAACAGAAATGAAAAGAGATGAAAAATTAGCTGAAATATACTTTATGATATGAAATATTACCAGACTAAGAAAGAGATCGTATAATGATAAAAAGGGCCAATATGTATGGAAGATAAAAACAATTATAAATATATATACAATTAACAGACCCCTAAAATACATGAAGCAAAACTGACAGAATTGAAAAAACAGACCATTCAACATAAGTTGGTGGATATCAATATTCTATTCCTAATAATTGATAAAAGACTAGGCAGAAAATCAGCAAGGATATAGAAGACTTAAACAACATTATCCACCAACTACACCCAACTGGTATTTATAAAACACTCCATCCAACAACTTCAGAACACACTTTTTTTTTCCCAAGCACACATGGAACATTCTCCAGAAGAGACCATACGCAAGACCATAAAACAAGTTTCAATACATTTTAAAGGATTAAAACCACATAACCTATGTTCTCTGTGAACAACAGAATAAAATTAGTGATCAACAACACAAGGACTAGAGTCCAGCTACAAATCATACTAACCCACAAAAATTATAAAAATGGAGAACAGATTAGTGGTTGCCAAGGGATAAGTAAAGGGTGAAGTCAGGAGAAAAGTGGCTATGTCTATAAAAAGGCAATATGAAGAATTCTTATTGTGATGGAAATCCTGAATCTATCCATGTCAATATCCTGGCTGTGATATTGTACTGTAGTTGTATAAGATGTTACTATTGGGGGAAACTCTTTAAGGGGTGCAAGAGATTGTTATTATTTCTTAAAACTACATATGAATCTAAAATTATCACAAGCTAAAAGTAAAAAAAGAAAAAAGTAAAAGTGGAGGAAGTTGATAGGGTTAGAATAAATGTGCTAATTCTATGTATGTAAAGTAACTTGGACATAAGTAACTCCATCTTAGAAAAATACTTCATCTTACATTTTAAAAGGCATCATGCCATCAAGGACCAGATATTTTGTCTGATCAATAAAGACTGCATCCAACCAGATAAGGACATAACCAAGCACATTTCCTCCTGATCGCTCTTCACCAGAGCACTTTGTCGCCATAAAAAGAGTAAGACTTTACCAGCATGAAATGGCCATCTAAAGAGACATATCTAGCTGATGGTTCTACCCACATCAAAGACTCTTCCTTGCAAGATGCTAACCTGGTGTGCTGCCTGTGTCAGCCTGGAAAAATTCTTCCTGCTCACTTTCCTCTGGACTGGTTTATTAATCCTTTCTCCTCTCCCTTTTCTCTTGATGTTATTACTTTGTTTGGTTATGAAATGTTTAATATATAACATTTATATTTTGATTAAGAATACTATTATGTATGGTATGCCATTTTGACTAACTTGTGAAGTGGCTTGAGCCCATGTGCCCATGGTTCTGACCACCAAGTGAAAGG